TGGGTCCAGTGAATACACAAATAGTTTTAAATAAATACAGTCTGCCCTCCCCCATAAGCACGAGTTCCACATCTGCAACCAAACGCTCATCAAAAATACAATACTCCAGATGCACAACCACATAGATCAGGGACCGACTTTTCCTATACGTGGGTTCCGCAGGGCTGACTGGGGGACTTGAGTGTGTGTGGATTTTGGTAAACGCAGGGGTCCTAGAACCAACCCGCTGTGTGCACCGAGGGACAGCTGAGTCTGATTTAGGGAATCAGTACCTGTTTCCCACGAGTCTTCTTCCCACAGTTGTCACAGAAGCACGTGCTTTTGCTCGATAACTCCCTGGGCTGGAAGAAGCAGTGCAGGGCGTCCTCCTGCCCCACCCAAGAGAACAGGGAAGAGGCAGCGTTGGCATTTCCCACCTCAAGTACTGTATTCATCTGTTCTCACGCCGCTGTGATGAAATAGCTGAGACTGGGTAATTTCTAAGAAAAAAGGCTTGATTGGCTCATGGTTCTGCAGGCTGACAGGAAGCATGGTGGCATCTGCTTCCGGGGAGGCCGCAGGAAGTCCCAATCATGGCGGAGTGCCAAGCAGGAGCAGGCATCTTACACGGGAGGAGCAGGTGCAAGAGAGCAAGTGGGGAGCTGGTGTGCAGTGGCACGATCTCAGCTCACTGCAACCTCCACCTCCTGGGTTCGAGCGATTTTCCTGACTCAGCCTCCCAAGTAGCTGGGACTGCAGGCCATATCACCATGCCCATCTAATTTTTTCTATTTTTAGTAGAGACAGGGTTTTACCATGTTGGCCAGGCTGGACTCGAACTCCTGACCTGAGGTGACCCGCCCGCCTCAGCCTCCCAAAGTGCTGGGATTACAGGTATGAGCCACTGCACCCAGCCTGGCTGCATACTTTTAAATATCTCATAAGAACTCACTGTCACAAAGATAGTACCATGGGGGATGGTGCCAAACCATGAGAAACCCTCCCCCATGACCCCATCTCCTCCCATCAGGCCCTACTGCCAACATTGGGGATTAACACTGAACATGAGAGAGATTTTTGGGCAGTGACACAGACCCCCAATTGTATCAGGTACAGCCTCCCCACACTTTGCAGCTGAGGGGTTCAGCTTTTCTTCTGATTCCCTTCATATCCCTCTTAATGCCTGGCCTGGTGTGGTCCACTTGGCAGGATCTCAAAGGTCACCTCCTGACTGGAGGAATGAAGCAGGAGGGGGCTCCTGTTAGGCCAGCAGTATGAGGGAAGAGGAG